AAAGCATGTTTTAAAACAAACAATGCTTCTTAATGTTATTTTAACCTGTACCTACGCGAACAAGATAAACAACATTTATAATTCATAATTTCCCGCGCAAACAGAGCGAAAGTTACACAGAGTCGTCATAAAATAATAAATGACAGACGTGATATAGGAAACGCATAATTAAATTAACTTTATCTTTGAGTCATCGCTATAACGCTAACCATGGCTCATCACAGTGATTAAGCCAGATTTATTAATTAAATTTTATCAGAATAGTAGGTACATCCAAGCACCTATAGGTACTTATTTTATACTTGTCTCTCGCTACATGTATTAATATCTTCGTTTTATAAATAATAGATATAATTTTGTTTAACAATAGATAGGTACCTAAGTAAGAATGCTATTTCTTAAATCTATACTATAACTTTAATTAAATAAAAATACGCACGCCAGTAGGTAGTTCTAAATTTTGTGGCTCCTCTTCGAGGAGTGGCAAGAGAAATGGCATGGAGTTATCACCTTCCGCATGACCCAGGAGTTAACTGGACCTGGAAGCATTGGTAGGTATTTGTTTCAGATCCAGCGAGAGAAAACGCTCGAATCTCGTTACTGTTAGGACCACCCAGAGGGCAAGTGAAGCATTGGGTGGCGATGTGGCCTGCTTGGGCTGAGTACCGCCATTTCTTCTCTTTCTGCGAAGCAGTGACAGTCGCAAAGTAGGAGGCGGAGCGTGTGAGGTAACTTTAATCCTCACGCTCCAGCCACCGCCGTACAAGACACTCCGGGCTTCGGGGCCCGCATCATCATCGCCTGACGATCTCCATCCGCCTTACATAAGCGCCTGACCTGAGCGTACCTGACGTGAGTAGCGTTCCACGCTCGCCCATAGTTCCGAAAGACCACTACAGATGGTCTAGGTAATAATGTACCTACTGGCATATAAGGTAGGTACCTATAGTTTTTGTTCATCATTTTTGTTTGTCATTTCTGTTGATCTTCTTTAATCTTAATAAAAACCTTACCCCAGTGTGCAGCTTTGAACATAGGTAGTATAGGTGCTTGAATACTCGCTTAGAGACCCGGAACAACGTGTTATTATGGAACACACATTGTTCTGTGCGAACCGGTACCGTGCTATCAATAATTTTAGGTAAATGAATTAGCAGAGGCCAAAAGTACTGAATAAAAATACAATATCAAGCTAAAATGGTCTTTATTATAATAATCATACATAATTATGAATCTCTTACATCGGGGCCTCCATTAGCCAATACGGGGAGACCCCGTTTATATAATAAACGCTATATTTATGAGGTATTTATTCATTAACAACTTCTACAATAAATATTTAATCGAATTTGACTTACTATAATATAATATCAAGGTAAATGATTGCTTATATTGGTGTAAACTGTTATAATCACAAATGTTTTATTTATTATGTAAAATCTTAATGTGCAAATCTTCGTTTTAATATTTTCGGGATTTTTTATTAAGTTTAAAGAGTATTCAATATCAAATGGCTAGTGCTAGTCTAAGAGCTGTTTTAAAAAACTGTATCTGAATTATTTAGTCTTTAAGTAACAACCGATTGGTACTAACTTGTGCCGATATTCTAGAGAGTGCAAAAAATACTATGGAAGATCCATTTAATGTAGTATATTCATTATACAATTACATTATTGCATTTACTTTCTCTCTGACGTATTTACCTAGTGTCCAACGCGACGAAGAATATCTTAAACCGTAGTACCTAGCTGTTCACTGCAAATCTTACTTTGATTATAATTCGAACCGATCAATCATCTACTTCCAATACTACAATATCACTAACTATGCTTAAACATTAATTTATTTGATTTCGTTAGTAATTAGGATTTTCATTTTATTATCACATTTTTTTAATTTTAGACAATTTGTTAGTTAAGTCTAGCCACTGGATTTAGATAGTCTAAGCTAGGTTTATCAAAATATTTATTAGAATTCAATAATTACAAAACCACTTTCATACAATGTGAAATGACCCACGAACGTAGAACACGTCGAAAAAAGAATAGTAGGTATGTGTTGATAGATAAAATAAAGGAATATAAAAAAGAAACAAAATAAAACAAAAATAAAATAAATTCAAAAAAGAATTTTACTAAAGTACACACGACAGAGTGCATCAGATATATACATAATACATTTGTTTGTATACCCGTTTAATACAATCACTTGACATGTCCGAGCGACACTTGAACATTGAACAACACTTCTATACATATTGACATTACAACTACTTACAAATACACGCCATTTTAATTCCAATTACCGAAGGGAATTCACTTTCAAAATTCTACATATTCACTTAAACTACACGTCAATAATTGTGATGCAATTACCAACTTTATTGCAATAAGAACATGGTTTTAAATGTTTAAAGCAATCACGCAGATTGCGCATTTTGTGATATCGATTTGTACAAAGCATTGCAGCTTATCACAGTTCGTAAATATTGTGTTTTAAAGCGATTTCCTACATACGACAATTTTATTTTACTTCTGACCACACCATTCCCTCGGTAAACGGGGCACAAACTGATACGAATATATACTTTTGTATATGTATGAACGTAAGATAATATACTGAGATACAAGTTGCACCAAAACACTAACAAAATCGTACACACCCTATACATTACTTTGGCAAGAACTCACCGAATTCAACAATAAAAAACTTGACATCACAATTATAATTATTTGCATTCGAATTGTTTGTCATGTTATAAAAATGTGGATTTTATTGAATTGTATAATTATAGCAGAGAAATTTAACGAATACTATTTAAATTAAATAGAGTTGGAAGATTTTATTCATACACAATCATTGAAGATATTTTCTCGTGTTGATATAATAGAAACGAAGTTGATAAAAATTGATAAAAAACATTTTAGAAGCAATTCCATGTAGATATTATTAAAGAAGACTGTTTTCTATTTTTGTGACGAGCAATTATTCCAATAATATCGTACAAGTATATAGGAGAATAATTAAAAATGAATAGGAGAATAGGGATGTCTCCTGGGTTAAAACAACAAGATTCTAATTAGTCCGTCGGTTAGATTATAGAAAAATACTCGATAAGTATTTTTTTATATGTCCATACGTATAATATTGACAAAGATACAGCACATTCAAATTCAGGAGTGGGGGCTCGTGACGTCACTCTTTCGTAAGTTTTACGAAATAATGACGTAGCGCGAACTTTCGCCGCTCTGAAACTTTGTTATTTTAAGTTTTAGAAGCAAAAGAAAAAATACGTACCTATCTACTATTTTCTAGTGTTCTAAAAGATGGACTAATTATTATTTTTAGTCATCACCCCTTTTGAAAGATTGATCAATTATTCATATTATTTTGTTTTTTATACAGTATTAATATTAGTCACTAGATTTAAAAGGCATCTGGTAAGTAAAGAACATACTGCTGTCGTTAAAAAGATTAGTTTTTTTATGAAAATTCGCTTTTTAGCGTCCAAGGCATTATACTAATACCTAAAACTACTCAAAATTGAAAAAAGCTACATGATAACATTTTTTTTTTTTGGTACGTGATTTGTTTTTTTTTCTCAATATCACTTAAATCTACGGTTGATAGATTATACATAATCATTATGTATTTAGCAGTTTTCTTTCTTATCTCATAGTAAACCTTAAATTCTAATGTCGGAATAATGCACGTTAGTTCTCAGATGAAATTCTAAAAATATTTCCTAATAAAATACTATATACGCATAAATAATGTGTAATAGATAATCTATTTAATTTTTTTTAAAGTAGGCTGAAGTTTATACCTTTGCTTGTTGATTTGAAAATAGAACTGGAGCAAAGGCGTTTGCTGTTCAGCCTTGTTTGATAAAAACTACATGTATGTAGATCTCTATGTTCTGATGTTTGCATCATGGGCAGTCTTTGGTGATTACATTTTCTTTATAAACTTCTAATTACCTTACTGATTTGGAAGTATTTTTTTATTATTTTGATGAATAGAATTTTCAAATTGTTGATTTTTTTTTTTTGTGTAATCGTACACTGTCAATATTCCCATCTCAATACTTGAACATAGGAACTATTTGGAATAGATAGATACTCTACAATTGAATAAGTAGTGTTGCAATACAAATAAAATCACCAAATCAAAACTTCGAACTATGACAGTGTACAAACGTCACAAAAATATTCATACGTTCTTGTCACACATTTATTTACTTTTACAAATACTTTTCATTTATTTGAAAACCAGTTTTAATGACTACTAGTGTTTCTAGTCACAACTTTGTCCTCCACACACAAGATCTGCGAAAACTACACTTATGCCATTGAAATAAAGGCGCTATTTGATTATATACTGAAATTTAACTTTCATTTGTGATGAAACGAAGCCACATTTAATTTTATTTGATCTCTTCAATAATGATCTTCTTGTCCAACGCTTTAGTGCCGAGATTGCTTTGCACTTTATCTACATAATTACGTAATAATTCGATTTCTCTTCAAACACTACTACCTCCTATGTTAATATACTAACTTGCAACACACACGAACAAATCAAAAGAAATTATGTTTTAGGTTGTTGAAACAAAACCTTTTTAGCTTTACTTAACAAATATTAAATATTAAAAGTACTTTTTCATTTGTATTTTTTTTACCTAGATTATAAATACGAAATTATATCAAAACAATAGCACGATTCAAATAATAATAATTAATAAAAAACCTTTGACTAAACCAACATTACGTTTTCACTATTTTCAAATTCAAAATTATTACAAAATATTTTTAATTACTTGTCACATTTCAAGATTCCAAACACGTCTAACTTCCACACAATCAAACTGAATAGCCAATCAAGAGCTTAGCAAATATATAGCGTCATTTTACTAACCAATCACGTTATTTAAAACCATAATGATAAAAACATTTTAAAAAATCGAAATAAGCTAACAATGAGCAAATTGTTTCTAATATAACGCATTACAATTTTTTTTATCATAATGGGATAAATACGACTCAATTTAAAGAGACTCGTTGCTTGCTTGCTCGAAAATAGACCTTATTATCTTAGGCGTAACATTCAAATTCCACAGATACAGCACATCAAGTTACTTCTCTTTTCTACCTTTCTTTAATAGTTACTGAATAGCTAACGTCGCAGCAGTCAAATTTTTGTATGACAATCGGGACTGACGCCATTTACCGTAAATTATTTTCAACCGTAACACTTCGCAATAAAGTTCAAAAACCTATTAACCTTCAGTATGTTTTGATGCGCTGGCTGTATCAAACATTTCTTTCTATCGTAATACATAGTTTCCAATCACCTTGCAATAATTTTAGACCATGAGTTTCCCATTCTGTTTGATTTCTCCATTGCTCTTGTTTTCAGTGTCGGCTGGGCGTTTGGTGCAATATTTAATGCAGCGGAGGAGTGGAGACACAAACAGAACCAGGCCGGAGACACCGATGAAGACTCCAGCTAAGTAGAATGAAAGGTCATAGGAACCTGTCACGTCATACACCCAACCTGGAAACAGAGAAATTCCGCATTAAATTGTGATGAGGGCTTTTGAATGCACGTTTGGTGCGGCGGCTGGGCAACTGGCTGCCGTTGCCCAGCGACACGTGGGGTAAAGAAAAGAATAACATTATTTACATAGGAAGACATAAATATGACATCGTGACATGGCAAAATGGGAATATAATAACCGATCTTAATTAAAAATGTACTATTTTCAGTCTTTGTCAGAAAGCCCAGATGTCATCATCGTCGTCATAGCCTAATAATGCTTACTGCAAAGTAACGGCCTCTGAAAAGAGGCCGTTATTATTATATTGCATACTGTTCAAATTTATTTCTGAATGTGTAACTGAGTTTTATGTTTAATAAGTGTAATTACAGAGGGCCATTGGCACAGGTGCATATTATGTGCATATATAGTATGATATACACAATATACACCTAGTTTTCACTAGCTTTTGATATGTGTCCCACTACTACTTAAATTAGCAATATAAATTTTTAATATTACTAAGTACTAACCAGCTAAAGGCGGTCCAATTAAATTGGCAACTCCTTGAATGAGCAACAGCAGTCCATATGCATTGGTGAACTTCTCCAAGGTGATCTGTTCCACCAGTATAATGCTGGTGAGAGAGTAGTTGGCAGCGATGCACGCTCCGAAGGCGCCTGATGCTGAGGCTAACGTCAGGTAGCTGCCGAGCAGTGGCATGATGAGGGTAACCAGGCCACAGGCCACCATGCACCCAGCGTACACTATACTCGCGTTCACACACTGGAAGTCGCCCACCCAGCCTAGGAGGATCTGGAATTGAGATTTTATTATGATTAATGAGATTGTTCTGGAAAGATAATTAATAAAGATAAGTACGATATGTAAGGATAATCATATACGATAGGTAAGATAAAATAAGATGGAGGTGATGACCTAATATGTTCAACTTTTGCAACTTTAGTGAGTATTTAGTGGTCTTTCGGCAAAGAGTACTTTTTTTTGTAAGGGGAAAATTATCAAATGACTTCTCCCGCCCAGGGTCGGGCGGGAGGGGGTGTCAGACTCTTAATGACTAAAAACCCCCCTATTCCTTCTCCTGCTCTGTGCCGAGGTCGCGATACCTCATTGCGCTTACCCCGCAACCCCGGCTGAACATCAGCCCTTTAGGGCCCCGTCTGTGGCGGCAAAGAGTATTAAGTATAATTTTTGACAAAGAATAATAAGTCGTATCAGTTCAGAACTAGTTCTATTATAAAACACCTAATTACATTGCAATAGTTACTTCTGTAACTTCTTATAATAATTATAATCTGTAGGGACACTCAACGCATAACGAGGGAATTCTTGTGTCAGATAACTACATACTAGCTTCAAAACAGACTATCATTAACTATAAGATGATGTCTCATTTACACGAGGGTAACAAATAATAACCAAAAGTCGTATTTACGAGCAATTGACCTTCGATGCAGTCTTGTAAACCTTTAAATAATTGCATTACAAATATCATATGGATTTGACCTTTTGATTAAATTAATAATATTGCACACACTGCATACAATTATGATTAATATCCATTCCTTTACTTATAAATTTGTGATGGTAAAAAATAAATTTTGATGTAAGAAGAAATTGTGCATATTTGTAATGATCGATATTATTGCAATACATTCTGCATTTTGGTAATATAAGCTGTATACTATGTTACTTGGTTGAAAAAAAAAACATATTTCCAACTGACCTCTGCTTGAGAGCCAGAATGTTGTTGTGCTTTTGTATGTTAAATTTAGATACATATTGCTCAAAATGATCGTTAATTACTAATTAGGACTTAGCAAAATCGTTGTTTAAATGTCTACAAATGGAATTTGTACCAAGTATGATTAAATTATAAATTCTTTACATTAAAAAAAGAAAAATAGTTAGTTATATATAGTTTAGAAGTATGATTGGATAGATAAGAACATTATATTTACGCGGGTATTAACGCGGAAAATTATAATTTGAATACCTTGGTAGGCTTGACGTTTCGACCCGGTTGCACAGGTCGTGGTCACAAGCAGACTGAAGACGCGATGTCACAGCTCCCTGCATTCGGGTGATGAATCTTCATCTACCCCCTTATTTTCATTTTCTACCATATTAGGCCGTCTACACACTACGCTGATTATATCCACAGATGTGTTAACCGACTTTGAAGGAAAGCGAGGTTGTGTTTTGCGAAGCACTGGATTCCACGTCGACGACAATTTAAAGCCGTCCTCCCGATTGAAATTATTTGGGCATTTCTTTATTTCAACCGCTTCACGCACAAGTCTTGTATGGTAGTGGCGATCAGTGGAGAGAATTAGCGTAGTGTGTAGACGGCCTAATATGGTAGAAAATGAAAATAAGGGGGTAGATGAAGATTCATCACCCGAATGCAGGGAGCTGTGACATCGCGTCTTCAGTCTGCTTGTGACCACGACCTGTGCAACCGGGTCGAAACGTCAAGCCTACCAAGGTATTCAAATTATAATTTTCCGCGTTAATACCCGCGTAAATATAATGTTCTTAAGATGAAACGCGAAAGTTTAAAAATGATTGGATAGATGTTTGTTACTCTTTTCATAAAAACAACTGAAGATATTTGAATTAAAATTGTCATAGAGAAAAAAAATTCATAGTCGGGAATAACAATTGCGCTACTTTTTAACCTGTTTGAAAGCTAAGCTAGAAAGAGACTCGTTTAAGCTGGTAAACTATAACTTATATATTATATAAAAAAACTAAATTAAGTACGTAGGTACGTTTACATAAACATAATTTGCTTGAAAACATTACAAGTAGAATGAAAACATCTTCATTTCCAATCAATAACAAATTACAATAATTACATAATTTATCAGCGCTTACACATGCACTCTGTGTGCTTACGTAACGTTGTCTGTCTGTTATCAGTCGTGTGTATATGATGATTTAAATGGGTCAAGTTAAACAATGCCTACAATTGATAACAGTGGTAAGGGAATAGCAACTCATACAGTAGAACAATATTTTCATTTAGTATTTTCAGGTTTTTGGCCACTGTTACGCCTGGTGGTAAACGATTATAAGGCACATAAGACCTACGATGGAGCATGCGTATCTATAAAAACGTATGCCATATTTTTAAAGCATCACTATTGCAAATCTGAGAATGTAAATACCCTATCATAATTGTTCGTCCCTGTTACTAAACCAGCAAAACTCTGTCGTATTGACACATATTTTTTTAAGGATAGGCAATTGATCGTGCTGGTGACCTGATGGTAAACAATCAACGCCGCCTGAGGAACTGCAAGCGCTTTGCCAGCCATTAGGGATTTGAGGATTGAGAGAATCGAGGATGAAGGTAGGAAGGGACTCCTATAACATTACGTTCAAAACTCACAACGTATTATATAGGTCTTAATTTTAGTTCATAATAAAAAAACCTCAACTGACCTCTCCAAACATATTCAGTATTCCAATGATTGAGATGAGCATCGATGACTGAGACTCGTTGAAGCCCATACTCATTCCGCTGTCAGCAATATACACGTAGGGCACGTCATACCACATGTACAGCAAGAAGTTTGAGATGGCGAATATCAGGAACGCAGGGTTCAAGAAGTGGGAGAAGTCCAGCACGTCCACTACGAGGTCCCAGAAGTCCCACAGACCTGCATACCATTGCACCTGAAAACGTGGAAGATAGATGTTGCTTATAAAGTAGTATTGAAAGGAAATAAAATATCTTTTCTTTTTTTTATTTATAAAACAAACTTTTCAAAGTATCGATAAAAAAATGCGAGTGGAAATTTTACTTGAGAAAGGACAATCAACTTTGTTCGTGAAAACTACGTAATACAAGTTATACAGCTTAAATACTAATAAAGTCTTTCCACAAGTTAATGTTTATTTACAGTTTAACTTGTTCTCTTTGTTGTAGCTGTGACTTTGCATCTGTAAACATAATGTAAAATAGTAGTATTTTATTATTAAGTACCTTTTCTTTGGCAATAGTTGTCATGGAGTTCCTGAAGATGTTGGGGCAGGAGGAGGCTCTGAGGCGGTAACGGTTGATGTTGAGCATGGCGCCGCGGTACGTGAGCGAGTGGCGGTGCACGCGCAGGTCCTTCAGGAAGGCGGGCGGCTTCTTCGTGGAGCCTGTCGCCTGGCGCCGCAACCACAGCGACAGCGCTGCTTTGTCGTTGATGGGAGCCGAGCTCGGAGCCGGCGGCCGCGTCGTGCTGGTCGGTGACAGCGCCCCGGGGGAGCCGGTGCCGGGCGACATCAGGGCGCGCGGCGGGGACTGCTCGTGCAGCCGCCCGCTGTCACTGAAACTCCTCGACGGGAGCATCACTCCCGGGTAGTTCTGCGCCAGAATGGCGTACGCCCGACCCCTGTTCGACATCAACTCGAACACTTCTAGGGACACTCCTTCGCCTCCCGTCATGAAGGTCGGCAAGTCCACAAGTGAACTAAACTGAGGTACGATGGGTGACGTTACTGTCTCTATGTCAACAGTTTCATTCGCCTTCGTAGAGCCCGCAGCACTACTCTTACTGTCCGAAAAACTATCTGCTGAAGACGCTTGGTAACGTTTTAATCGCTTCCTTTCTCTTTTTCTTTTCCTTTCTTTTGCCCTTTCCTCGTTCATTGTGGTTGTCCACGGCAAGTCTCTGAATAACAGTCCACACACTGCCATATTTAAAAATAATCCAGCTAATATTAAGGTAGTGCCACGCCAGCCATATTCATCTAATAATACGTAAGTCAGGGGCGCGAACACAAATGTTCCGATGCCACTGCCACACACCGAAATTCCGGTGGCTAAGGAACGTTTCTTCTCAAAGTAATAAGCGACTATAACTACTGCTGCCACATAACACAGACTCAATCCAAATCCAGCCATAATACCAAATGTCAAAAACAATGTCTCCATATTATCTACGAATGCCGATATGACGAATCCTGCAGCAGCCAGTATCGAGCCAAATATCGTCATCCGTCGGCAACCGTACCTATCCGTAAGGAAGCTCGCGATGGGCCCGGACAGCAGCGGCATCGCCATGAAGATACCGGCGATCCAGGCCGTCTTGCCTTTACTCTCGCCGAAATACTCCAAGAAATGTGGGAAGAAGACACCGAAGCTGAACGTGATGCCATCGGCGATGAGGTTGACCATAAAGGACGCGAACACGACGACCCAGCCCCAGCCTCCGTCGGGTGGGCGTGCCTCGGCGATGGACACGTCCTCGTCGTCCGAGGAGCTGGAGCTGGTGCTGGAGCCCGACACGGAGACCGCCGCGGGGGGCGACTGCGCGTCGAACTGCACGTGCAGCGGCCGCCCATTGTGCTTGCGCGCGACATTCTCACTGATAGCACTGACACTGAGCGGATCGCGGAGCAAGGGCTCGCTTTCGGGGATAGAAGCTAACGCGCGCGGCGCGGGCCGCGAAGTCTCTGGCTCGTTTAAGGCCTCCGCGGGCGGGGCTGCGGTATCGATGGTTTCGCGGGGTCCTCCTTGGAGCGGCCGATGGTTCGCGCAGTCCGGCGTCGGCGAGAGGCGCGCGCGGTCCATTCCGGCAAGGCGCGGCGAAACTGCGCACGCAGCGTGTGCAGCGCGTGATCAGCAGTCCGCCGGGCTTCCATGCGGACACCACACCACCGCCGTGACCTCATGCTGCAACAACACAACACTCTACTTACTCATATATACAACATAACACTATTAAGTGTCATCTTAAAATTAAGTGTCACAGTAGATAACTAAGACCCTAATCTAGCCCTAAAACGCACACAGTAACTACAATCACACGTCTCACCACTTTTAGAGTTATTTAATATCCCAGAGCAGATTTATTTGATGTATCTCCAGTAATGTCTTGTCACCTGACCTACGCACATACGAATAACCCGAGTGGCCGGTCCTCTCTAATTGGCTCTTTTCTATCAACTGAAATAGGAAACGAGTATAATGGACGTTCGTTCATCTGCAGCGGATGCTCCAAGTGCTAAATCGTCGATCTGCAGAGACCGTTGATTGGTGGACAATGGACGAGCCGGGAGGCCATGCAAAGACCGCTTCTTGTATTTATAGATGTGAATAAGAACAACTTGAGGAACATTCAACTGTGGTTTTTTTCAGTCATAATGTAATATATGTATACATAAACTTTATATTTTTATTACGATTTGGAACTATTTTTATGACAGCTGATCGACAAGATTCATTATTGTCTACAAACATATTTTTTTTCTATTTAGATGCGAAGAAAATTAGCTTGACATTAACAAGACCACTCAGCTCGCCTTAACATTTACATTGCCTCAGTAGCGACCTCTATCCTAAATCCTAATTAACTCGACCTCTGCCACTTACACTTACATGTCTCCGACGTAATTGTTTTACTCCAGGGCCGACAATTATTGCGAACATGTCAGATAGGTATAAAGCGTTACTTACAATTATAAGATAGCTCGAGACCTTAATAAACCTTAACTTAAAGTATTTGGTAGAGAATAAGTTGTTGGATATCTACAAACCGTTTTTTCTATATAGATTCAACACAAGACCTTTGCAAGTCATAAAAAAATCATTTTTGAACATATCGGCAACCCTAAATGAAATATGATCACTTTGAAGCGACTCATTTTTATGGTGGCCCTTAGGCCCTCGGGACACATTTTTTATTCGTCCGGTGAAAAAGTTTAATAAAAACACAAAGTTAAAAACGTCCGTAGAGAATGTAGCTTTACCGAGAACATTTTTTTATCATCTGGGAATACACGAGCATGTTTCAAAAGTTGTTGGACCCGTCTGGCAAAGGGAACCTGGCTTTTGTTACGTCGCGCGACGACCTATACACCTAAGCACTCTCGTGGCCTTTTTGCAATGAACCGTTGAAGTTCTTTCAGAATATCACCGTACTTACACAGTCAGCAGATTCACTGTAAAATTACTAAAGTTTCGACATTTTGTTGTGTAATGTCGAAGTTTTCATAAACTTAACAACAATAACAGGGCCCATGTACTCAAATAAATAGTTTTAGTTCAAACAATAAAGTTTCAAAGTGGCAACCTACATTAACGGTGTCACGTTCAACAAGGAACGTTCCAAATGAAGGACAAATAAACGAATTGTGGAGTTTGTTACGTAATGTTAATTAACTGATTAGTGTATCAACATTGTCGTAATCCTTCCTCACACTTCAAGCTCCCGGTACAAGCCCTGTCACTTTGCAGGGTCCCAGCAGGATTTAATAGCGTGTTATATAACATTCTGCTTTGAAACATCCAGTCCACGTGACAAATATTTCGGTAGGGACAGTCAGTTTTTGTGACATATTCAGGTAGAAGATTCACTGTGGCCCTGACACGTTTCTTATAATGTCGAGTCAACAGATCGTGGTTGATTAGTTACGTTGGATAACATCCACTTCTAAAGTAATCATTATCAAGAATTCGACATTTAAAATCAAACTTTTTTATAAAGATAATAAATCCTTCAACGTCGTCATAAGTGATAAGAATGGGATGTGAAGTTTAAAACTTCTTCACAGTTTAAGCGGTGGATCCGGGAGTACCTACATTTAGAATATTCTCCGAAGCACCTTGGCTCTATTTTTGGCAGCGTATTGAAATGTTTCATTTTCATACCACGTCTGTAGTGAATCTGCGAGCTATGTCCTGTTCGTTCGACCGCATTGCACCATCTATGATATGACCTGTTTTTGAACAGGGTCACCTGCGCCCCAGCTTGCATTAGCCTATATTTCTGATTAACCTGCATGTTCAAAACGCGTATACAGCCTGTTGTTGCCACGGTAACACTCCAACGTAAAGAAGAGCGAGCCCTGCCCGATCATAAATTAAAATTACCGATGTAACATTTAAGCAGGTTTACTTATGGGTTGACTTTCAGCAAATCTAGGCTAAGGCGTTGTTTGCACAGTCTAAGAAACAATTCCAGCTTCGTATTATGTTCGTGTTTGCCTATCGCGTTGAGTCGTCTAGTCGCCAGTCTGTAATTCCATTCGGATTTAGAAAGAGGTCACATAACAAAAAATAACGATGGGAGGTCACCGAATAACATGTTTACCATTTAGAAGTTCTGTAGTTATTCGCAGTTACAATTCCAGTTCAGTTCGTAAAAGTTTACAATTTATAGAATACCATTCGTGGCCTGTGTTCTGCTGAATGTTGGAGAATTTTGTTGTTTTCCATTGAAAATAGTAGACAGCGATTCAATTGAATAACAAAAGGGTTTATTGGAAGCAGCGTTAGCGTTAGCACATAGAGGACACGGATCGCTGCTTTGTTTGTATAAAAGTTTTAAAAAGTTAAGGGGTGTTTCGCTTTGAAAGGTTTTTAGAACACGTCAACTAGCCTTCAAATAAAGGAAGCAACGAAAGATTGAAATATAGGCAACCTAAAAAAAAAAGAATCGCGAGTAATGGTGTAGCGTCGCTTTACGATAATATAAACGCTACAAATACAAGCACAACAATTCATATTTCAAAAGCATGATAAGTAAAAATAAATGACGAATTCTTATAACCTACGATTTTTTATTCAATTGTAAGGGGCTCAGCAGCACTAAACTTTTTTATTTCTCAGTAGCCGAGTAATAGAACGTTAAAACTTTACGACCATGTAATATATACGAAATACCTATGTAACGTGGGTTTCGAATCGGACTCGCCCTTTAAATATTTAATGTTTCCTGACCGGGAGACGGGAACATGTGTACTCGTACTGTAGGCACCTCATTCGAAAACTTAGATACGCCTTTGCTATGTACCTATAGCGAGAAATGGGTAATAAATTCAACTTTCCGACTTTGACTAGTAGCTAGATACACATGAATCCATTACATTTGGAATAACAGTCGTTGAAAAATAAAAAACGTTCTTTGAATTGTTTAAAATCAGATGTTTTCTTTCGTTTCTGACTACTGTAACAAGGATAAATTGATATTTTGTCGTGAATTTAGATTTATATGTACCCAAAACTAGCTACATGTATAATCTTATTCATTAACATATGCATTTAAGTATTTCAAATTCACTGTATTCATATTTATAACATTAAATTAAACATAATCAAAACAATGAAGCCTCAGTCAATACTACCACAGCTCAGGTCAAAGGCCTTCTTAAAACAATTGTCTGCGATTAGAACAAGATACATTAAGACGCATTAATTAGTATTTAACTATAAACTAGGTACATCTCCATTAGTTGGGATAGAATTAATTGAGTACTTTAAAACAATTAAGCTCACATTAGCATAATAGCCCTACTTAGGACAAATTTAGGAATTTATTCTAGCCAGCCAGTTAATTCGAAAATAATGAAAAGTATTTTTGTTAATTTTGCTCATCGCATTTGTTGTTTGTTGTTTTGTTTACACACCAAATACTTCGTGTTAATTATCTTTTAAAATTCGATTGGATGATCAATCACAAAAATATAAGGACAATAATTAATTTACTTTTTGAAGAGTTTTTTCACTGAACAACAATTTTCCTGGATAGGCCGAAGGGATATCGGACTTAGTGACTGAAACAACCTAAGCACATAAATCCACATACTTAGTCGGGTCATAAGTTCTGTCAAAACCTTATATTTTTAATTTTCGATTACTGGCCAGAAATTCTTCGACTTATTTTAAAAATAGAACTTTCGCGCTTGTAGAAAATAAAAAAGAAATTATTTTTTATTCATTTTTAAATATGGAGTGGTCGAATAAAGAAGACAGAATCGCGGTTATCGCGTTGCACCGCTGTGGTTACGCGCCAAAAGACATTTTCAATATTCTTCAAAATTTGAAAATAACGTTACGGTTTGTTTATCGTACTATCAAACGATACACCGAAGAGTCAAGCTTCGAAGATCGTAAGAGAAGCGGCCGACCTCGCACAGTTCGGACACATAAGGTCATCAAAGCAGTGAAGGCGCGAATCGAACGAAATCCCGTACGTAAACAAAAAATCCTAGCTCTGCAGATGGGGCTAAGCAGAACCACTGTTAAAAGAGTACTAAATGAAGACCTGGGACTACGAGCTTATCGTAAAAAGACAGGACATTTTTTGAACGAGCGTTTAAAAAAAATTAGGCTAGACAGATCCCGCGCTTTGCTACGACGGTACGCGGGAAAAAAATACCGCGAAATTCTTTTTTCGGATGAAAAAATTTTTACTATTGAAGAAAGTTTTAACAAACAAAATGATAAGGTGTATGCCCACAGCAGTGAAGAAGCAAGCGCGCGTATTGCGAGGGTCCAGCGTGGGCATTACCCTTCCTCATTCATGGTTTGGCTTGGAGTCTCATATTCAGGCGTAACTGAGGTGTTTTTCTGTGAAAAAGGTGTGAGAACTAGTGCCGAAGTTTATCAAAATACTGTCCTAACAAACATAGTGGAACCTCTTTCTCAGACAATGTTCAGGAACAGGCATTGGATATTCCAACAGGACTCTGCACCGGCTCATAAGGCACGAAGTACGCAAGACTGGTTGATCGCTCGTGGAATTGACTTCATCCGGCATGAAGACTGGCCCTCTTCTAGTCCAGATTTAAACCCACTGGACTACAAGATATGGCAATATTTGGAGGAAAAAGTCTGTGCTAAACCTCACCCGAATTTGGAGTCTCTCCGAGCATCTCTGGTTAAAGCAGCGG